GGACAAAAATTGATTTTCTGGCTTTATTAGGCATCAAAACGTATTAAACCCTAATAGAAATTTGTTTCTAAATGCCTCAGGAACCATACTACGTCGTCAAAGTGCCGAAATATTGCACTTTGCATGCGCAGTAGAATTGACATACAGTAGGTAATAGTGGATGCCAGGAGTACCTCCATTTTCTGCTTTGTTAGTTCCGCCGCAAGGCGTTAGATAATGCCCCCTATACTGTTTTCGAACCACTTCATTTAGTATCGATTTTTCTCAAGTTATTAGACGAAAACTACTTTAGAAAGCAGCCTGATTAATTTCAGAATATTTTCAAATTGTTATCAATATAAAAATTGTATTCGAGATTACGCGAATCAAGCAACGTTCTCAAAGCGACTAATACGAAACCGCGTACATACGCTAGGCAATAAAACTAGAATTTCTTTTATGATTGGTTGGAAACAGAACTCCACTTGCTTTTAATTCCTATCTATAATCAAGCTTCGAATCATTTTATATTTGAAATCGTTCTACTTGTAAAGTACATGTTATACAAGTACTTAAAATATATAGTGTTTTCAATTTTTTTTAATTTACTCCTATGAGTAGTTAGTGATTCTTTGCATATTGGCAGTACTGTTGCTTCTTTCCAGATGGTTTCTCCAGTGACTAATTCATAGTGGTAAAAGTCGGAAAAGTGTGCTTTAAAGCCGGTGCATGTTCCTGAAATGAATTTTTAAACTTTGGTAAGGTCATGAACGAAAACGGAAAAGATTTTGTGCTTGGACATCGTTTACTTTCATGTCGATAACGTTAAATGGTCTGTTCGATGTTTACTCGAGAACACACCTCCCGTTGAACTGTCGGTAATTTGGACAATTTCAAACGTTAAGTTTGTCTAATGTTACTTTTTCTCGTCAAATTGGGCCCCAAAAGATGCACATTGTAGGTTGTTTTACAATTATCCGTAATCATCAGTTACACCTACCCACATGTTTCCACGGTAGTGTTACTGGGTGTGCTTGCTTACCACTATCGTTCTGTTTTTAAGTTGTTAAGTCACCGTACATTACGCCAAAACGTACGGCGTTCATCGACGAATTAAAAATATAAATGACTTAAGGATCGTTCGTGCTAAAATTTGTACGAACTTGGCGAAAATTGTTGCTAACAGAGTACGTATTGATAACGATCTAGTCACAGAATTAATTTATCAAAATGATTCTGATGAATGACTCAACAAAGAATCATCGCTCGAAATTGTTCAGAATATATGGATCTTTTTTTATATTTATTGGATAAAGTAATCAAAATATACGAAGAATTGTTGCTTGTTAACTGTACATTAACTATTTCCTTTATTGAAGTTAACTGAACAACTTGCTTTACATTTTCTGCATGTTTAAACAAACAATCAATTTTTATTTTGTAGATAAGAAGCAATTGTGACTTTAAGTTAAAACTTTTAGTTTAAATTGAAATTCAAATTACATAATGACAGAATATAAGCTTGTTGTTGTGGGAGCTGGAGGTGTTGGCAAGTCTGCACTGACGATTCAATTAATACAAAACCATTTTGTAGACGAATATGATCCCACTATCGAAGACTCTTATAGAAAACAGGTAGGTTTAATATTATCCAATGATTCAGTAAAGGATAGCTTATGAAGTCCATGATTCTATCAAATATTTTAAATTTAGGTAGTCATAGATGGGGAGACATGTCTTTTAGATATATTAGACACAGCTGGTCAAGAGGAATATAGTGCAATGAGAGACCAGTACATGAGAACAGGAGAAGGATTTTTATTAGTGTTTGCTGTAAATTCGGCTAAAAGTTTTGAAGTATGTGAACCCTCTTACACTTTCGGTAACTGCTATGTTCTTCTTAAAATGTGCATCAGAAGTTTGTACATGTCTCATATTATAGGATATAGCAACATATAGGGAACAAATAAAAAGAGTAAAAGACGCGGAAGAATCCATGGTGCCAATGGTATTGGTAGGAAATAAATGTGATCTTCAGCAGTCTTGGGCAGTAAATATGACACAAGCAAGAGAAGTTGCTCGTCAGTATGGTGTGCCTTTTGTTGAAACTTCTGCTAAGACGAGAATGGGAGTAGATGATGCTTTTTATACTTTGGTAAGTAACGTGTGTACATTTGTCAGCTTACAATGCTTTTATGCTGGGATTTATATTAATAAATTATAGGTGAGAGAAATTCGGAAAGACAAAGAACTTAGCGGTAAAGAGAAAAAGAGAGGTAAGAGGACAAGTAACTCCGGCCGTAGGAGACATCGATGCTGTTTATTTTAAATCGCTAAGAAACATTACCTTTCTCATTCGATACATTAATGCAAAAATAGATTGTAAAAATCATTAGATTATGTTCACTTTACACACATTTTTGCAGCTTCCTCTATAGAATATTGTCATAATTTACAAGCACAAGTTTTTCTATACATTGGGAGGGAAAAAAAATATGTAATAGCATTGTATATTATCGCGTACATTTTTACTCTTGAAGTTAAATTTCATAAAATTCATTGTTCAACAATCTGCCATATAACTCTTAATATTCCATTAGCAAAAAATTTTAACCCTTGATTGCATAAAATGGTCGGTATCGAAATATTTTCTAAACCATCCGCTTACCTCACTATTATTGTATGCATGAAAAAGTATTATCCAATGGAGGAATTGCATAGTTTTAGGTGTTGTGGATGGAAAATATGATACGTAACTCATTAAATGTAACGATTTACATCGTGCATATTTTTTACGTGCTTTATTCAGTTAGTCTAATATAGTTTTAAACGTATGTTTAATTAAATATATTTTCAATCTTTACTTTCTATACTCTACTACGCACAATGAAAAATTCCATTTACCTAATCCAGAGGATAACAAGTCATAGGACTCAAAGAAGTAAAATGTGGATAACTCATTTTGTGCTGTGATTAAATAATCTTAAGCATGCCATGCTAGTTAGGTATTACTATGATTAAGTATGCAATTTTAACGTAAATGCCTATTTACAAGTCTTAGAATACATAGGTTCAATCGCGTTTCCTTTTTTAGTGCAATTACAAAATGTATACTCAATACTCCTTTACATGAGAAACGAAATAAGCTTTTGCTTATATTGAAAATAAGATGTCGTTCATTTCTTTGAGAAAGTTCGTATACAATTATATTAGGTAAATCGGTAGGTACGAACTTATTTTAATTATAGTACACGAACGTAAATATCATTTTATATTAATCTGTTTTATCGTAAAATTAAAAGACAACATAACAATTATGATTTAAGAATTGTATTATATAAAAGTGATGTTGCGATTTACGTTGATATTTGAATGCTTAATTATGTCTCTTTATAATAAAGAGATGTCCCATCACACTCGTGTGCTGGGTATTTGTCTTGTCGTATTCGTGAAATTAGTACAATTTAATGGTGATTGTACGACGAGAAAGATGTAATTTCCAAAAGTTACAGATATCAATTGTAAACTCGCAGATATATACTTTGATATTTGTTCAGACAATAATCTGAATCGATAATGTATACAAAATTAAGTTTTTCTAGAAAATGATGTTGTATAGGAAATTTAGTATTCCACATCTCGGATTTGACTGAATTTTTAACAGTCAAGGGTTAAATACTTTGCTAAATGATCTAAATAGTACAATTTGCAAATATTCTTATATATGTAAACGCGCAAATTTGTAATACTAGCTTTTTCAAATATTAAAATTGTGTATATATAAAATTGCACAGCATAGGTGTTATTATGTAGTTCAAATTCGTAATAAAACTTTGTACAAAAAGTGTTCTTTATATTCATTCTATCTTGAATGATTATCTTTAAATATTAATTATAGGCCATCTATGCTGTTTGGTTTTATAATATTAAACTAAAAAGCGATTAAAAGATCATTGATTAATCAATTTTATTCTTCGAACGTTTCATATGAAAAAAAATTACTTTATCCAAATCAAACGGTCCTAAAATATTGAACAAGTAAATTTTTTAAATCAAAGTTTATGTATTCGCACATCATACGCAATTGAATATAATGTAAACTCTATTATTTGAAAGGATTAAAAAAAAGTTGGACGTATTCCTGTTACGTCTACACTTTTTATTCTTTTATTCAGAGTACATTATCAACTGAAATAAATATCATACAGGCATAACACACTAAGTACAAATTTAAAGCAATGTTTTTTTTTATTTGATAAACTTATTAAATATGTTAACTCAATTACGAAACATACCAGTAAAAACACAAGTGTAAAATAGTTATGAATATTTCGCAATAATGAATTTTCATGTTGACGAGTTTGATATAGCACTAATTTCTAAAAGTGGGGTATGAAATAAATTTATAATAATTCGGTATGTTTTATGCATCATTGAAATCAACCTTACTCTAAATGATACATTGATGAAGGTTACAAGACATTTTTATGTGTCTAATATTATTATTATGCATATGTATATGCATCTTAATTTTTTAACATGATAATATATATATTTTTGTTAAATTTTCTAAGAGTTTTTGTATTGATTAAAATTTTTACTTTAACATGACATTTTTCATTTAATAGCATGATAAAAATATCGCAACGATACAAATGTAATAATTAGTTTATAAAATAATTGGAATTAATAAAAAAAACTCATTTATACACGTGTGAAATATTTCTTTCAACCTATTCCAAACAAGTTCACAGTTTTATCAATGACTGGGAAAGTTAATTAACACAGGAATTGATCAATATTTTCGAGTATTGAGGAATCGGGAAACTACATATGTACATACTCATTTTTGGTTTAGTTTGCATTTATTTTCGAGCACCTAAGTAAATATAAAATCGTTATACGCCTATATGATTCTGTATGTAACTATATCACTGTCATGTTACTGTTTACTATACGTATAAGCTAATTTCTAATTACATACGAAATGGTAAATGGTAGGCTTGTGTGTATACAGTAATGTATATGTATATATATGTATGTATATATACATATATATATATATATGGCACGTCAGTCTGTACGTTTAATTACTTAAACCACTTACGAGTAATTTATTAAATACTACCGTGTATCTGTCGTTAAATTTTATAAATTGTTTTGTTACGTTTGGCATTGTTCATGGCGAATGGTTTTAGCACTACCGTATCATTTCCATGTACTTTTGTTTATGTTTGCTTAACATTTCAGTCACGGTCACTAATTGTTTTATCGTTGGCTAAAAAAGCAAACATTTATCAATGAATCATTCGTCCGATTATCGCACGATATATCGATATTAAACCTGTACACGTACCTGTGACTTTGATAATGCTTGAAGTTCTTTTAAATGGGAAACACAAATGTGATGTAGCGTTGCCAAGTCTCGCGCTGTATCTGAAACACAACTCCTGTTCCTTGGATCGGCACCTTCCGATTCTGGTTTCTCGGTTACGTTCTACGGTACAATGAATTCGAATTATTTGAAAGCGAAATTTCGTATTCCGTCTCGTATAATTTAAAATTATGACAAGTACGTACAGATAACTGATCGAGAAAGACAACCATTCTCTCTTTATTCTTGAGAATAAACGGATTGACTACTTCCATGTAAGGTTCTTTACCGCCAAATTCTACTAAATTGGCCAAATTTTGTAAACATTTTGCAACCATTACTAGTGATCTATAAAATAATTTTTTCATAATTAGAGGATAATTTATATAATTATGAAGTTTCTTACGTTTAATATAAACCTACCCTACCTTGCGGCAGCTGGAGGTGGCGGTTCAGCTATTAAATTAAATGACCTAGGATTTAATATGGCAGGGCACAGTAGACGTAAAAATATAAATCCACTGACTACTCGCGTTCTGACTAGTCTTTCATGCGGCCATTTTGCAACAACTGCTCTTTGCAAACATCCACAAATATATCGCAAAGTTCGTGGACACGCGTCGGGACTCGTAAAAATGCTCAATGTCACTTCATCTAGGACCTAAAGTAATCCTCGTTGTAATTCGTAATTATTAATAATACTTTAGTCTCAAATTATTTACTTACCTGTAGTAAAAATTCTGCATTGCTACATGCATCTTCCGGAGAATCCATTTTTGTTGGATTTAATTCACAGCTTTGTTTACTTTCAATTAATTTTACTATAGTGTCACGTAATGCAGCTTTCAAAAACGAAGTACAAACTGATTTCATATATAAATCCATTAAAGTAGTTGTAAGGCTAGCAGCTCTAAACAGTGTTGGTGTTTCGTCTTCTTTGTCCACCTATATAAAATATGAAGTAAATTTAACAGAACTAGTGATATAATCAGTATCTTCTTTTACAATAAAAATACGAGTAACATACTTCTGCTTGATTCAGTGATCTTAAAAGGTCTGCCTCTTTTCTTTCATGCCTAAACATACATATTTTATGTTATAATCAAATGTTCAACAAGAGTGCCATTAATCGATACATTATTGTTTATACCTAAATATTCTAAGTAAACTATTTGCCAGGGGTACTCTATCCAAATGACACACATCTGCTAGCGCTCTAACCACATGTAGATCTGGGTCCAACAATAGTTGTTGTAACGGACTATATTCTTCAGGAGGCATCGCTAGATCATGCCGATATCTGCAACATTATAAATGCATAAAATGTTTAATGGTACTTGGGCTGACGAATTGACTACATGTAGTAAAATAATTCAATTACCTTATCCGTATTCGCAACACACCCCATTCACCTATTGGTGTAACTCCTGATAATGGATACCATTCGTCCATTTCTTCTCCGTTCGTTAAACTTGCCAATTCGACGGTTAATTCTGCAACTTCTGTATCCTTACTGCGTTTCCCCTTATTGTACAGTGTTAAAGAAAATGACATAACATCCGGTGGTACATCCCTGTTAAGTAATTTATAGTATGCATTATTCAAAGGTAAATGTTTTGAACGGTTAATCATATACATACTCTAAAATGAATTCTTCATCCCAAATTGGATGCAATCCAGTCTTAACCTTTGTACGAGCAACTTTTACATTGTTTAGAGCCACTATGATGAATGGATTTGGTACTAACTTATATGGAAGTCTATGCGCGTCTAAAATATGCAGATGTAACGAACGCAATTCACGAAGACGAGCAACCTTTGGAGCACGAGTAAGTTGTGATACACATAATGGTTTCAAGGCATTAATCCAGTCTAAAGCATTTTCTGAATTTGGAGCGGCCAAATATGTTATCGTGGCTAAACATGGTAAAGCACGTTCAACTAATTGAAAGCAATGAGGTCTATCGAATACGCTTTCATGAACCTAAAAGAACTACATCTCAGGAAGGAATCTTCATAATTTGATTGTTATCGTTATTTTGCTTAATGAATATCGTTTTGTTAATGTTAGTACAGTTTACAGTACCAAATACACATTTTTGACAAATCACAATTTGTTAATTTTTACGACTGACATACACAAGAGAAATTTCTAGTAATTCTTTCAACTTACCTGATACAAGTATGCGCAGCTTAAATCGATGAGACCCTTAGGTTTGGTCCTTTTTGGATTGTCATATAAGTATAAATGGGTATCTGTTGCATCTACCAAGAGTACAAAGTATAATGCTTTCCACTTTTTGTTCTTCTCCGATTTTTTTTCTAAATATCCTTGCATTTTAATTCCTTTATTTTTCTTTGCCCCAGACTGTTCACGACATTCCCTCAGAGTAGCATATATCTTTTCCGCGTGCTGTACTTCTCTGTTCACTCTTACGCTACCATCGGGTTCAGTTACCATTGCTTGGACCAGAGTATGTCCTTCTACTATTTGTTCTTTCCGATATCTACGATCACCGTTTAGTTAGAACACAGACGTTTGAGAGTAACTTCATATTCACGAAAGTACCGTACCTATTTATAACAGCATCGAGACATTCAAAAGTTCGGCCGCCCATAAGATAGCGTACACCCTTTTTTTCGATTCTAAATCTTTGAATCTGATTATTTATATGAAAGAAAAGCGAATAATCTCCGGGACTATTGTCTGAAGGTCTGACCTAATAAATATTTATTTTTAATTAATAATTAAACTAACAATGAAAAGTACTAAAAGAAGCAGAATCCATATACAAATAAATTACCAAGAAACTACCAGGTCCTGCTTTTACTAACATATCAACAGCTTCACTTTTTGTGACATTAGGATGAAACCAAGAGAACACAGTATTAGGATCAATAGAATCATCCAAATCTTCAACTAATTCACGGAAAATTAAGCCCTGTTCACCAGTTCTATGAGCGGTAACCCATAACCAACCATCTCCCATATCATTGTGTACAAAAAATATGTCACCCTTCTGGAAGCTCAACTCATCTGTGTCAGGCATTTTTGTATATGGTAGTATCGCGACTATCCGTTTTTTGTCATTTACTGGTTCTGGAGGTGGAGTAGGATGTATAAGTCTTTCTCTCTTTAAAAGATCCGAGCAATGGGTATAATATGCAACTAAATCTGATAAGCTATTGAATTGTCTGCCACCTACAATAAACAGACTAATTTGACTTATTCTGTAAATATATTATGACTGAAGACATTTATGCCTGAAATAATTGTTGCTATACCTATATAATAATCTCCACACACAGCTGTGATTCTAAAATGATTAATGCCAGTTCTTCCTAAGTAAGACAGTACATAACTTCCAGGTTTTCTGTCACTTTCACGCACTAGATAGCTACCCATTTTACTTGCATCCCATAGTCTTTCTTCTGCAGTAAATCTATCTAATCTACCATGATACCACCTATAAAACATGTGTATTAATAACTGATATTAATGAAAAGTTAAAGCTTTGTTATAAATTTAATTAAACGTAATTTTTTCATCAATAATTGAAAGATTTTATTGGTATCAAGTCTCACTGATTTTCCGGAGGGGCTGTTAATAACGTTGCATTAGCGCTATCAGGTTCCTCTGTGTCTTGAATATCATCTGGTATATTCTCCAAAAATGGATCAAATTCATTTTCTGCATTCATGGATTCATTCTGTCCACCATCTTCACTACCAGTGCTAGGTGAACCACCTTTACTGTTATGATCCATCTGTGAATATAATTACATTAAAATAAATATTACTTATTTCAATTGAAAATATCTGAGAAGATTCTCAAAATATAATAAAAATAACAATAAACGGTATAGTAAAAAAACAAGATAAGTGCTTATATTTTATAGCATATAAGTATGTATTTTAAATATAACATATATTTCTGTCAACAAAACATAAGTACCATGTGTAAATATCTGTTCATAATGCTCTTGTGCTTACAATCGTTCCTCAATGATCACTTATACTGTGTAAACTAATTAAAAAACATTATCCGTAAACGATATCGCAAGTTCTTTTCATCGAAATATTTAAAAAAAAATAATTTGAAATTATTAGATATCTTAAAAACTGTGAAAGTAGACGTATATTTTTAAATATACAGTCACAATTAACTTCTCTTTGTTCTACGATCTACATTTTTACTGAGTGCGCGATAACAGATGAATAATCTCAGATGAATAATACCCGTAAGTACCTTAGCACTGTTCGACACGCTCGGACCTCCGCGCACAAATTCTGCCATTTCTGATTCGCACGCACTCCTTCATACACACGTTTATAAGAAAAATCAAATGTTAATTAAACGGCATCCGTTTTATTGCAATCCTGTTTGCTACGATTATTTACAAAAGAAAACTGTTATTGATACAAAATGTATTGACGTTTCTCGGCAGCCATTTTACTACTGCACGCGGCGACCGCAGAATACGGACAGACGATGAATCTTAACGTGTAAAAATTATAAATTGTATTAGGTACATGTTTGCAGTATATATTTGTAGAATGAATCATTCGTTAACCAATTCGAAATCAATGTTTTTTATTAATGCATTGAACGCGGTATGATTTACTTTACAGCACTTTTATAAATAATACACCATCGACATCGACAATGCTACATAGAGATAGCTGAATGTCCCGACAGTAATGATTTAAGAACTTTAGTAATCATTATCGATGGTATTTGTGCGGTATAATGTTTTAATACGATTTACGATGAAAACTAAATATAATTTTTAATGCAAGATACGCGAATTAATATTTTGACTCATATAATTGCGCGATAAGTGCTAGTTACATTTTAAATTTTTTCGCTCATTGAATGTTAACCTTTCGAAATGGCGGAATTTGGTTTCGGCATATACTCGTTCCACGACAGATTATATTCAACCCGCGCATGTCGGCTAACTTCAGTAGATTCTCGATCCTGTTTAGTGCTGCCACAGTACTATATCTACATAGTAGACAAAATATACAAATAACAGGAAAAATAAAACTGAGGGATAAAATCGAGTGGAATCAAGTAGAAAGATATTTCGAACACTCACCGAATTCGCCACAGATTTTTCCAAATCCACTTTAAAGCTCGAATATCTCATATATAAGAAATATATAGAACGAAAAAATATAAAAAAATAAAAGATTACTAGGTATATACATTCGACATCACGCATTGCTCTTGATTACACGTGTATTCAAACCAATCAAAGCTGTCAAGCACAAAATAAATAAAAACTTGTCGTCTCATGAGTACTATCTTCCATGTAACAAATAATACGTCAAACTGAATGTCACTGGGATTTAAATTACTTTTCTTATAATAAATTGCTACCACAATTGACGAATATTAAAACGTAATGGTAAGATCATCATTTTTATTATTTCATAGTTAGCAGTTTCAGTAAGATTTTAAATCATCGATAACATTATTATAACCTCTTCGTAGTTTAGAAAACTACACTTAGAATTTAAATAATTTATTCTAATAATTATGTCGGGGGGACGTGCAGTCTGCCCTATTCAACTTCCAGAGTTTGTTGACAGTAATTTTATTACTGATATGCACGTGTACTTACGTTAGATCCATTGTGCCCAGCTTGTTGGATAAGAGGTTAGGAAAGGTTGGGTATGTATAAATAAATGTCAACTTCTCATAAATGCTTTTATTTAATGTATTTTTGGTATAATAATTTTAATGATATTCGTTACTTAGGTTGCAGGGCACTTTTTGGAAGTGTGCAAGAATCGGTGAAAGGAAGAGTCCATACGTGGCAATCTGTTGTGTTTTCATGGCTTTTAGTCTATTGTTTTGGACGTAAAGTTTATGTTGAAGCACAGAATCCTAAGAACTATATACATCAGTGATGTGCAACTGTATTTTAATTGTAAACATTATGGGCCTACACATAAATAAAGCACGTGTTTATTTATAAGGTTTAATTATTTGTTATTACATGACAAGAGTCCAATTTCATTGAAAATCAAAAAAGAATGAAACAACAGTTGCTACTTGCATGGTATGTTTTATTTGTCAACACGTTGTTTTTTTTTTCAAAGCTATATAATTATCCAATTTGAGCACATTTTCTCACCGTATTCTCATAATATATTTTTTTTCTATAAACAACAACATTTTCTTTTAATATAGTTATTGTAGAATCGTTATATTGAGCAGTGTGTTACGATATACAATATTTGTTAAATAGGTATATTTAACATACATGTGTGTGTTTTTTCTTATCTCGCGGATATGCTACTATTCCAATGATGGTAGATCACGCACCATGACTAAAAACTTGTACTCTGTAATATAAGATATTTACGGGAACGATTATATTAGTAGAAAGTTCTGACATCGCTGGTATGAAAAATTGTATCCATTAAGGAGAATCAAGCCTTTCTACTAGCACCGTTTTTTGCATACGAATCCTAATTACAGAGTAAGATATGATTAACGGTATTGCGAGGAACATTGAAAAAAGATACAAAGCACAATCTACTAGGAACGCTTATTGTCGATTCTTTGAAAAGAAAGGAATATTCTCTTCGCAATTGTATCGCAAAAATGATGTACATGTTAAGATAACGCCTTGTTCGTGTATCGTTCAATGATAGAAATAAGCGACGCACATTGAATAACTCGGTAATTAATCTCGATAAGAGCAGACAAACATTCGTTAAAGCGTGTAACACGAAAAGAAGCTCGACCGTTTACGCTATCGAATAACAGTAAATTCCTCGCAGTCAACCACACCGGGTACGCTTATAATTGTGGTCTCGTTGAATCGTTGGCAATACAAGGTACGTTATTTGTCTACGTTAATTAAAAAAATACGTGAAATCAGAAAAGTAAGGTCTAGTATTTTTTCTAAAATATATAATTAGTACGGTACTATACGCCCTATGGATATGAATCTGACTTAGATATGATGTGTTAACGTTTGTTAAGATGCCACTTAACGATCTCGGTTATCGCGCCGTTAAATAAACGTATTATCTTATTATCCCTTACGTACAAATTAGTATGCTAATTATTTGTCTGCGTTCGAGTACAATCGAATAGTTGATTAAGGAGGGGTCGATTCGCGATTAGCCGCGAATCATGCAGAAAATCACGCGCAATGAACGGTTCAAGTAAATAAGAATCGTCACGATGTGTTATAAGGGATGTTCGTTTTGTGATCGCTGAAAATAATTCCGTGTTCCGATCAATCAATCGAAAGAATCGTTGTTGCATTTGTATATTAGCAAACGATGATGTATCGTGAAAAATGACACTCTTGGTGGCCCACTCGAGAATAGACACCCTGCATGTGTAAGGCTTTCGACGCTAACATTTATAAAACTTACCTCGCCACTTCTAATAACTCGACAAATCGGAAATGATCGTTTGTATCAATGAAAAAACTCTAGTTCCTCTTTCGTTCCTCGTTGATTAAAAAAATATTCGACAACGTTACATTCAGTCCAACTAAAGAACACATTTCGCTCACGACAATTATACTCTTTTCCCCGCGTTTGATAAACGGATAAAAGGGTCATAAAAAATACATTCGTAAGCATTTATCTTCTTAAAATTCGCAACAGTTTCGCCCGCGGTCCACCCCCGCGGCCAGAGATCGATTATTCTCGCTGTATCGTCGTGAGAAGCTTATCGTTCAACCACAAGTACACGGTATTAGCAAACAATGAAAAGAATATTTATAACGTACGCGTTTCGATAATTGCATTCACATTCACCCGACCATACTCATCAACTTTCTTTCTGCTAACAACATCGAATTATCTGCCGTTCGATGTTAACATGTTCACTACTGTCAAAACCGTGATATAGTAACGCTTTTCAATGCACACGCTTCATTGTTTCATTGTTCATCACTCGTCGCTCATCATTCAATGCTCACGGTTCATTGTTACCCAACGTACACTCGAGTATTGCATAGATTTCATGTTGCTAAGGACAGGTACGGGAGGTGTCTTTTACTATTTGCTTTTTAGTTTTCGAAAAAACCAAAAAGAGCTTGCGGCCTAGAGGCTCGGAAGGGGCTAAAGTCTAGGAAGAACCTAGTCAAAGAAAAGCATCGTTGCACGCAATTGTACTTGTGGTCTTGCCCTTCATCGTGTCGTTGAATGATCGCAATAAGAACTTCTCGCCGTTTCATTAAAACTTTCTAGTCGAGGTTCTTACTCTTCGTCGTATGTCATCGATATCTTCGACACGATGTACATCGTTCGATATTTTATCACGTTCCTTCGCATTTGACTGCATCGTTCGAAACCTCGACACGTTTCTTCTAGCCGATACAATTTATCATAGTCCGAGACAAATGAGCAAGCTTAACGCATAGATTCTTGTACCGCTGGTTTTCGCGTTCGTACTGCTTCGCGTGCTTGGGCTATCGCGATTTTGAAACACGTTTTTGTCTTTGATGAAAGGTGCTCGAGGATCCGCCGTGGTCGAGGTCGTCATGTGCTTATTGTAAACGATCCTCGCGGTGCTCTTCTGCATCGCTGGCGTGCTCATCTGGTGGAAGATTCGATTGATCGTCGTGACTTGAGCAAACTTCGATTTTCCTTTGCTCAACTTTTTCCAGCTAGCAGACGTGGCTCGGGTGGGTGGCGTTGCTCGCTCGATCTCTGAAAACAATTTAACCGAAGTGGTTACCCGAAAGGGGAACACTGTCTCGGTGGTTTAGAGATTTGCACGAAATTTCCATGATCGAAAGGCTATCGAGCGTAGTCGCAGACGAATCGTCTTTCATCCTTTTGTGGCCGGAAGCTGAATTTCTCTTCTCTTCTATTCTATTCTATTAAATTAATGCCGCGCGATCTGGTCAAACTCGTTACGTTCGCGCCAAGTCTATTAAGCGATCACCTTCGTTTCTGTTCGAGACTTCATTTAGATCGAATAAATACGATAAAATTTCATTTGGCGTGCGTTAGTTAATTCTTGACCGAATCGCTGCTCGATCTCGAAAGTACAAGGATTTTAATCGGAGAGTTCGTGACACAGCAAACGCACGGTCACGCGAGAAACAGCTAGTCACCGATATCGAGGCGTCAGTCAAGTCGAGAACGCGATATAATCGATGATAATAATAACGCGTTTGCTTACCGTACACTCTAACAATCGCTTCCGCTTTGCCCATGCTCGAGGACGCTGAACACGTGTACTCCCCTAAATCCGATTTTTCCAAATGCTTTATCTTCAACTCGCTCGTTGTCTTCCATTCCTCCTCCGGATGTGCCCGTTCGTCGATTTCGTATCTGCCGCTGCATTGACAAATCGTTTGATTTTAACGTTCGGAATACGTATGACATCGATTTTCTTTAGTCACGTGAGAATGTCAGGTCCCGTACCGAACAGACAAAGGGATAGGATCTTTGGATAGTCGGATCGGAACAAAAGAACACTACGTACCCGCTCATGATAACTTGCTCCTTTCTAGTCCACAAGTTAATCGTCTTTGGATAAGCTTCGATCAAACAGATTAACGACACGTCCTTTTCCAGAGGCGAGCCTAACAGCTGGTTGGGAACTTTTGCGCTTGGCGGAACTGGAATTACGATAGACAGAAACTGTTTCTCTCGATCGATCGACTTTTTCTACGACCCCTTGGCTACCACGCGTTATTCGGTACATCCGATTTATCGAATCGATGCTGTTCAAGAATCCCTTAAGGCAGGGCTGACCGGTGCGACAACAGCGTATTAAGCTATTGTCGTAGCCAAAGGGTTAATGGAACGTAAAGCAAACACAAATATTGTGGATATCGATTTCGTTCGGGTTTAAATTGAATCTCGCGAAGACGATAAGGACCTCTAAACACGAGTTTCCGAACGAAATCGAGAGTTTGCATCGAAACAAGAACATTCATTTAAGTTAACGGAATAATTAAAGTGGTTATGCATCATCGTTTAGCAGACATTGGCAATAATTTTAGGTAAAGTGTTATATAATAGACTGCGCGGAAGGATACTCACAGTTTACCCTTAGATAGACTCTCTTGCTGACTGCCGGAGGCACTTCGTTTCTAGCTATGCAAAGATACGCTCCCATTTGCCTCCTGTCTACCCTGGTTAATTCCAGCTTCTCACCGGACTGGTTGTCCACTGTAAAATCGCGCCTCGTATGGATATCTCGTTGAAAGCTCTCGCATACATATCGCTGGCCTTGCGCCAGCTTTCGCGCGTACACCAAATTACGCGCGAAATACGTCGTTTGCTCGTTAAAACTACGAGACCGCTGCCTATTACAACCCTAAATCTCATCTTTGGAAATCCTTTACATGACCGGTTAACGATTGCCTCGAGATCGATTTAAAGAACAACGAACCTAATCGCGCTACGAAACGCTGTTCACGGCGTAAACTCGAAACTTCGACACGTTAGGGGATGAAATTCCAAGCAGAATATTTCGAAAGTTGGTAAACACGTATCTGTTACGTCGTTACACCGTGTATTAACGTTTAATTATGCGTGCGCGTACGCGACGCTTTTGAAATCATGAAACGCTACGAATTACATTATAATCGACCGATCGCACGGCATAAATCACCGAGACATTTCGCGAGTTCGACAGAACGTGTCACGAGCTTAATGAGATCCATCGAAAATGGAAGATTCATTATTTGCGTTGACAGCTCGCGACCTCTCTACCAGTGGACCAATATTTTTGTTACAATACCGATCGTGTTCAAAATATTGTGCGTCGATTTATCAATACCGTACGAAAAATTGTTCCATTAACGAAGCTGTCGCTCGTTCAACGCAAAACCAGTCTGCTAGCAACGTTTTCCAGGAGCATCGAAAATCGACAAATTGCACGATACAATGGAAGGATCGCGTACGTAATGCAGCGCGTCGTAGAAAGATATTGGAAGCCGTAGTACGAACAAACTAATCTCTGTTTGATGAGACGTATCTCCAAACGTAATTGCTTCCGATTCTATGCTTCGCGTAGTTCCGCGAATTTACGACGTCTTCATGGTTCCGCTAAGCGGATCCCGATGGCGAATCGCCTCGCCTACATGCCTTGGATAATTACTTCACGCAGCTGGTTGAACTTCATTCAATCGACGATTCGAATTTTAATTATGGCAATCGATCGTTACGCGAAACCTATTTTCCGTCGACGCTCGCGATAAACACGAGCTCGCGATCGGTAATCGGAATTAAAATCCATGCCGAAAGGATCGAATAACTAATGTGTCTTCATCGATACCGATAAAATCGATCGAGTCAAAGCTGACCTGGTTTCGGCGGTTCGTCGTCGAAGCGCGATATTGAACGCGAGCCCGGTAGAATTTTTGAACGGCGACGAATTAATATAAAAAGGAGGAGAATCGAACGTTATTTGTCACCGGCAATGACGGTCGCGAGAGTTCTCGAGACGAGATAAAAATGTAATATCTTACCTGGTATCAGCGGATCGTGAAGACCCCTCATAAGTATGAAACCACTTTTCTCGCGTCGCCAGAGCACGCGAGGTGGCGGTCTTCCAGAGGCATTACACGAGAGGGTGGCGTTCTCACCCTCCAGAACGGAAACCTCACCCTCCGAGGTACCGAAACTGAGTATATCTGGCGGGACTGAAAGAAAAGAAACCGGTCGATCTGCTTTGTAAGCGATTATCTGGACAACGGGAACGTTATCCACTCGGCTAAGTTCAAACACGAGTTCCAGTTGGAGATTTTGAAACACGATGAACAGCGTATTCGCTTAGGGACGCGTCTGGATTCGCTGGTAGCAGGGATTGAAATTACAGACCGCAATGGAAATCGATCATGATCTTAACGGGTGAATTAGGGGGTTAGCGGTTAGCGATAGGACTAATTCGATGACATACTCGTTAATACCGATACGTATCAATCTCGGTGTTGGTATTGGTAAGACACGTTTGTCAATCTTCGCCTCGATAGAGACCGCGTTACGTCGTCGCGCGTTATATGACCAAGCGTTAGATCGTCACGCGTCGCTGAGTCTCCCGTACTTCTGTTATGCATTCGGATAGGTCGATTATGTCGTTCTGTCACCAAACCCGTAATTAAGCTGTTATCGAATTTTCTCTGGGATACGCTACCAGTCGCGCGTTCCGATTAGTCTCGAATCGTTCTCGTCCCAAAAGCGTGTATCGATTTCGAACGAAAACGTATCTACGATATCGAAACCGTGACTGGTTTCGAGCTGAAACCTGCATGAAAATCAGTCCGACTCGTCTACCGGCACGTCTATCCGGACCGAAATCAGGTTAAAACGCCTGGCTCCGTAGGCAAATTAAACACCGGCTAACCCCCGGCCTCTGGCAAGAAACATTTTCGCGATGAAATCTCGTTTCTTTTGAAGAAGGCCACGCGGCGCGGACCATTTCAATTACGCCCGCTCTGCTTGGACAATATTCCGTTAGGCATGAAGGGATCGAGGGCCGAGTTTCGGTGGGATGGAAGAAAAAGAAAAAAAAGTGAAAACGGGACCTTTCCTGTGTTTGCTTACAAAGGAATTTCATTCCATTCGGTCCGATCGCCCTTTCGAGTTGAATACCCAGGCGGGCGTACGCACTCTCGATGAGTCCTTTTTCTACCCTGTGCTGGTGTCCACGCACGCACGATACAACGGTCCTTGTATACGATACACACAGGAGAACGTATACTCCTTGTATAGGGTGTTGAACAAGTCGTGGTCGTAACACCGCCATAACTAATAGTTACTTATACGTATAAGTTCTTTTCTTCATTCCGCATACTTGACTCGTTAGGAGAACTAGGAATATCGGAACCTAGAGATACGAGAATCTATGGATCCGCAGATGTGGGTTCGCAGACATTAAGATTCAAGGATGTAGGAATTCGGAGATATATGTACCCGAGGATAGGAGGAATTTGTAGATATAGGACCCGGAGATACGGAGATCTTCAGGGATATAGAAATATACGTCCTGATATAGCGTTTTATTGATACAGCATAGAATATCGATATGTTAACGAATCTCGCAAAGGTCCATCGTTATTTTGCCAACACCCTGTACGCGGAGAGAAGCATTAGGAGGATAGCAGAGGGAAATCGAGGTGGGATGAGACGGTGGTGAGTCGAGGGTGGAACGAATAGAAAGCAGGCGAGCAACGTAACGGTTACGGTCCGTTCTGGTGGGTCCCATTGAAACGTATTCTAGCGGCGAGGCGCGCATATTTTCCATCCCTTCTCGAGGTAGACTAATCGAAACCTGTGCGTGCATGCGTGCGTGCGTGACGTCTGTACGAGCGACCGCAAACAGCCGACCGTAGCCGGCCGTAGGAATGCGGTATAACGCGCAATTAGGCATACCTAGGACATCTACGCATCCCAGCTGGCTCAACATGGGCTTCGTATTCAGTTGGCACATGTAGCAGCCTCGGTCAGCTTGCCGGAGCGGGCGAATATGGAGCCGCGAAGTGGCTTCTTCCTCGTCCCTCGACTCGCTCTGATTCTTCGCTTTCGCATTCTCAAACGTGACGAGAAACCGAGACGATTGGGTCACCGTTCGCTGACCCATCGACAATATCGTCTGGTCCTCCATTCGTAGCCATCCCACCTGAGACAACCAATACAGTCTTTAATTTTTCATGAAAAACCTCGACTCGCTCCACCCTTCATTTTTCTCATAAATCCTCTTTTCCGTTCGCTTCATCCACGATGTCCCGAGTCCTCGATGAATTTATTCGAATTTTAGCGAAATTTCTACCTTCCTAAGCGGGATAACTCGTTATCCTGGAAATTCTCTGAATTTACCCGACGCGACGATGTTGCGCGCCGAAACGAGTGGCTATCTTTTTAGTTGGCAAAAGAATCCGCACCAATTAAAGAGTCGACGCTCTACCTCGAGACGTAACATTATCCAAAATGTAATACGATAAAATTGTGCTATAGTTAGTCCGTAAAGGCGATAATACTCGGAGAACTCGGATTTCCGTAAGAATTCGAAACTGGTAGCTTCCTTCCTAAGTGGCAAGGTACGAAGCCGAGCTCTGTGCCACTTAGACAGGCAATACCGTGCATACTTCCTTTCGTAAAGAACGCTCCTCCGATTCTAGTACTCGCGGGTAAAAAACGGAATTCGCCGGAAAGAAGAGGGCTCGAGCAAAGTTTTCGCTAATTCGACGCCGGCAGCCGTCGGTGTACGCTTATTTTTTTGCACGACCGGTAACAAGCAACCGAACCCCCCAGGAAAATTTCAAAAGTTTGCTTAGCCCCGACGCGGCGCCAAGTCTAGCGGCAAAAACCGGAGGGGGAAACAACAACAGTTTTAGTTGAAACAACGATACCGCGATAGAATTAATGGCCAACGGTCGGCGGCGTCGACGGCGGCGGTGGTGGAAGGCGTCGTAAAAATTGCGAGCCGATTTACGGCAGGAAGTATGCGTTCCAGAGCGAATGATCGGAGAGAAAGAGAAGAAAATTGCCGCGAGTGAAACGCGAACCGAGCGCTTTGCTCGCAAACGTTTAAACGGAAAATTTCTCGGCGAGGTGTCAATTTTACTCGTCGCCCGAGGCTGCTTCGCGAACGAACGCAAAATAAGACACCGTTTCCCAAACGATACGAAAACACCTCGAGCTATTAATCGGACCGCGTTTACATCGATCCGATGAAAAATAATAGAAAACAAAATCGTGGCTCGATACAGGTCGAAAACATTCGTCCTGGTAATTCTGTTAACTCGTTGATTACTTCCCAGGACGTCGCTGACCTCCCTCGACGCGCGCTGCAACTTTTCACCCGACGCTTCAATTTCCACGAGAATCTTTTTATTCGCCTAATTAGAAATGTATCGGTAAACACGCGGAGAAATTCTTGATGCTTCGTGGTTTGTAAAATTAGCTATCGATTTTATCGCGAATCCAGCTTTCATCGGCGAATTCTGAAAAGTTTCAACGCGTCCCGCGCGCAAGTAAGCGGCTATTAGAGAGGTGCAGGAATGTTTTCGCAGGATACCGAACTTTGTTCGGAGCCACTTTTTACGATTCGAGGTCGGTTGTCTTTGCCCTCTGTTCGTGATGAACGTCCGGCAAACGATCGACTAATTAGAAACTAGGAGTCGAGCAGTCTCGCGTTTTTGCATGCTCGAACGACTACGCTGAAATTTTCTTCCCTCTGCTCGCCGAGCAAACTTTCAAAGCGCAGTTGAACTCGTTAAAACTCGTTGACGGCACAGGTGACGTTATTTTATATTATTTTCGCGTTTTTTAACGCGCCCGTACCATCTACACTGTTTACGCGCGACTACGTGGACACGTACGACCATATACCAGTAACCGAACTGCTCTCGATAACCACAGATTTGTATTTGCGCGAAACCATTCCACGAAACTACCCCCATGGTACCATGGTCAAGCTACCGTGTGCCATTTCACCCTTAACCCGTTCCACGGGCGTCGATGCTGTCGCCAAGTAATATCGATTTCGCGCAACTTATTCGAGTTTATCCGTTTTTTAGTTTTACGCCACACGCCCGGTATCTCCCTTTCGACGTTCAACGACATTTTCAAACTAGAAATTGTGGTTAGAGTATGTTACGGTATTCGCGAACAAAATCACGAAACTCGGACCAACGCGTGTACCGAAGTCTTTTAAAACGGATCGTAAAACTTTGCGGGACAAAACGAACAGAAAGATTCTCCGAAATTTTATTATCCAAACTTTCCGCGTTGAGTTACCATCGATCGAGTTTCGGAGAGCCCCGTTATAAATCTGCTCGATCAGCTGATCTGTTTGTTAAATTTAATCGGAATAATCGCGAGCATCGTTTTTAAATATTTCGCGCACGCGACAACATCGTTGTTCGCTGGAAAAGGTTGACACTCGAAAGAGCTGCGTCAAATCGTGAATTTTATATAAATTTACGCGAGTCCGCTCTGTACGAATCCTCTTTGTTTCCGGCGCGTTTTTGCCGCGCGTTTCCTCCTCGTGCGGCTTCGTTTCGTTAACGACGCGAAACAAAATAATTAAAGGAATTCCGTTAATTGTAGCGCCGTAAATATAAAAATGTGACAGATAGAGAGTAACGGTGCTCGTGTCCGTTTCGTTTGTACATTGGAAATCAAAAATGCTAGTAAATAAACGCGCAAAACGAACGCGCGTTATTTCAGCGTTTTTTATTTCGAAGATTAAAAGAAGATCCCTCAAAATGAACGACGGCGAAGTTGAAGACATATTCGTTGGGAACGTACGCGCTATCAGTATTTGAATTTTAGTCGCGAAATTCCTCGTGGAAATTCAATTCGCTCGTTTACTCGCAACTTTGCAACGCGACGTTGCTGATCAAAACTTCGCGCCTTCCTGTCGGTGTCACGTCGTTTTCTCGGCACCGCCTTTCTCGAGAAATTCCTTTGACCTATTGTTGTGCTAACACGCGCGAGTTTAAGACGCCTCTATTTTTCTTCGCGAACGCCCACCAATTTCTTTTCCCTCGCGAGCTTCCTTTCGCGCAGCTTCGGTTAAGCGTTCATGAATACGTAACGTGGATTTTCCGCGTTTAAAAAAAAAGGAATTTCGAAAGAAAAGTTCTCGAACCGAGTTAAACCGAGAACAAATGTCTCGGTTCGTTGGGCCGGATCGTTCGATTCGGCGACGACTATTGTTCGCGTCTAGCTCTTTCGTCGAAAATTTAAATTATCACCAAGGAGATAAGAAATCGCTCGAGAAAATATGTTTGCCTACGATCGCGAGCAGAATGATGGAAGAATTATTCGTTCCGACCGGTTGACAAACTTATGTTCCTTGCTTATTTTCCCGGAGAGACGCTTCTCGTGTCCTCCTATTTCTGTTATACGGGTCCCAAACGATTTTTCTAAAGCTCCGGTCCATCCGTAAGAAGGAAAGAAGAAGGGACCTGAGAAAAGCCCCGAAGCTTTTAGCGTGTAGTCACCGTTTCATCCTGATAGAACCAGGCAAATCGGCAACGCTAAATCCCTCGTTCTTTATTCCGACTTTCTGGAAAAAATGAGAAAGGACGTTTCTCTGAAAAGCTACGTCGCGAGGATGCTGATCGACGAACGCGGTCATTTGCGCTAGCAGCGACTTCAAAGCGATCCTCTTCTCGTGCTCCGGCCTGGAAAAGACTTCTGGCGAGAGTCGAAAGATTTATGGCTTCCGAAACTTCATCGGACGTATTTTGATAGAGGTTTCTCGTGTGCCGAATGCCTAAAGAGTTATTACGTCAAAGAGAATATTGCGCCTGGCGTGGAAACATAAACGAAGACGTTTGAAGACCACGGTCGCTTTATTTCGAACGCGTACGAATCAAGATCGAGAGAATAGTTACTCGATTTCTCGCGCGACTCCCGACGAGGGTGAGATGAGAAAGGAATAATAAAAGATCGAAGACGAGCGTTTCGACGGCACGATTGTAATCGTGGAATCGTGTTCTTATTCCCTTATTTATGACCGACAAAATCCTGCCCCCTCGCCACCCCACCCCTCTCCTGTCTACGATCGCGCATAAAAAGCTCGTAAAAGGCGAAAAAATACGAGACAACGATCGACCTTCTCGAGGGAAATAGTTTGCTGCGAGAATGAGAGAGGAGTGACCGTCGAAACGAAAATCGTCGAGTCCCATCAAGAAATGATCGTTTCGCGTCGCGAGATTTGCGATTCCTTTCTCGATTTTATCGAACGTTAGATACGCTCGTCACGTCGCATCGACGAGGTATTTTTCAAATTAACGAGCCGAGTTTCGAGAGAACGTGCGCGTTAAACGCAAGAACGTTAAACAGTGATCGAATCTCCGTCGAAACTTTCAGCGTAATTTACAAAATATTTCGACGCCCTCGATCGTGGTATTTAAACGGTAAATAGATGGTTCTAAAGCACTCGGTCGTTAAAAAAGAATCGCAAGGAAACGTCGCGAAAGAGAGCGCTTTCAACGATTCCGCGGCACGTCGTTAACTGGTTTTAACGCCGATTCAATTTCCGCATCGAAATGACGAGTTCGATGACGATCAATCTTCCGGAAGACTGACGCGATGTTTGTAGGTTAAATAAAATAAATTAGCAGAGAAAACGTCACGTTTTATATCCGCGGATCAAATCATATTTCATACGAGAATTTTAATTTTCCAAAATTATTCGAAATAATGGAGTGGAAACTGGTAAGAATGGAATTCGAGCTACGGGAAAAATGAACGAAAGATTTAATGGACTCGTCGAACGCCTGGAACGATTCGATCGCGAACTTTTCGTCACGCGACACGCGAGAGGACACGACACGGTGGATCGAAGTCCGACGATCGTTCATCTTGTCCTTTCGCGTGGATTCGCTTATGCCTTTCCATTCATGGCGTTCCATTTCTGATTAACGCCCGAGTCTCGTCGACGACGCCACGACTTTGGCAACTCCGTTCCATCGTTCGCTCTCCCGTCCCTACAGCCACTTCCTCGAGCTTCCCATCAAGCATCGATGAACCAGAGTATTTTCGGGTATATGGAGTCGCTGCCAGGCCGATCGAGGGAATGGGAACCAGAATGTACAGAGACAGAGAGAAGGAACTAGAGAGAGAGAGAGAGAGAGAGAATAGGAGGGGTTGATGTCGAGGAAACAGTGCCGAGACGAGGTTGGAGGGAAAGTCGGGAGGGGTTGGTAGCGGGAGAGACGATGGGTACGAGTTGGCCGGAGTGGTGTTTCCCCGGGGTAAGCATGAGCATATACTTGCCCGGGGCTTATTCAGACAAATCGGTGATTGCTGCGGAGGCGAGCGAAAGGGTAGCTCGCCACGCCATCGTTCCCTTTCCCTGTTACCACCGCCGCCACCGGAACCGCACGCCACCTTGTTGGAGTAACGAAGACTGAGGGGGTTTTAGCCTGAAATCCGCGATGGAGAGAACAAGAAAAGAGAACGACGAGAAAGATGGACGGATCGGGATAGAGGGGTAGCGAGTTTTGGGCGAGGAGAGACGAGGAAAGTACCGAGAGTTGAAGAGGGACGAGAGGAAGTACCGCTGGATACAGAGACGAAGCGAGATCATCGGGGTTAGAAGGAAGAACCGCAGGATAGAAGGAGAGAGAAGAATGATTGTTTCCATGATTACAATAGAACGGAAGAGGAAAAGGGACGGGAGGCCTGGGTTAGTGGAAGGGTATGGGGAGCAATCTCTTAGCGCTAACGTAGATTCGTGGCCCAGGGTCTCTCGAAATATTACACCGGTGGGGTACAAGGGAGAGGGAGAGAGAGAAAGATAGACAGAGTCCGAACCTGGCCGATGCCCACCAGAGAATTTCGTAACTTTTGGGGATAATGTGTGTCAGCGGTCGACGCTGTTCCGGAATTTTAGCCAGAAGAAATTCTCGCGGTTCGTTATCCGCCGCGAGCTCGGGAACGCGCAAAGAGTACCAGCAGACCCGTACACCGGCGCCGATTCAATTTGCCAGCTTGCACGCGGCACGCGGCCCGTCAGACGTCCTCCGAGAACTGTTTCTAAAACCGTTCTAAGGCATCGACGATCATCCCTCGTTACGATCTCGTCTATTTTACGAAAACGCTAGACGATCTTCTTAATACGGTGAATAAACGAACGACGATCTCGAAAAGAGCCTGAATCCGCTAGAATCATTGGAATTACAGATGCTCGAACGGTTTGCCGACGGTAATAACCGAATAGAATAAAACGTTCGGAGGGAACGAATAGCGAGCGTTATGCTTTCTTAAAAGTTTCCGGTTCTTGGGACATTCTCACGGTGAACGGTGAACCGATCGAGAACGCGCGTAGACATCTCGTGTAATCGTATGCAGCTCGAAATTATGCAAAATACATGGATCGGGAAACTTTTTATCGGATAAGAGGTTCGTTTCTTCGGGGATAGGTCGATCGTTATCCGAGGACTAGCGTTCGAACGAACCGTTATCTTTGTCGCCGAGGTAACGACTCTGCTGGCGACGTAATAGTTTCCGTTCTCGCTCTGCACAGAACAAACTGTTGTTCCTTCGTGACAAAGTGCTTGAGACATTATCGACGGTTCCCCAGAGAACGAAAGGATTCAAACGCGACCGATGATCCTTTCCGCTTTTCTTCCGCCTACGAGCTCTTCTTTGTCTTTCTTTCCCGTTCAAAAGTATATTTTTTTTTTCTCCAGAAACTTTTCATCGGAATCTATTAAGAAACCCTTCGCCCTCGTCAATAGTTATCCCCGCGTTCGATCGTCCTTATCCAACGGAAAACGATCTTTCAAATTACTTTTTTATACAAATTCAGATCCATCGGATAACTCTCGAGCAAACAGAACACCCCCACGATTCGTCTGTTTCGTTGAAATTCAGACTTCGTCGCTTCGGAGCAGACGTTCCACGGGACTGTTCGGCATAATTGCTAGAGCCGTGATTTTTTCCACTCTTAGGTTTCCTTCGAATCGAACGCATGGAGATAGTTGGGACGATTCGAGCGCAAAGGAAATTGCTCGCATTATCGAAGCTGGAGACGCGCGCGCGTACGAATGATCGGTGTCGCATGACATCGTGTAACCCGATGCATGCGAGCATACAGGCAGACATACGGGATGCGCACGACGATCACTTCGGATTAATTACCAAGTGCAGCGTTATAGATAACGCGTAGGAGATGCGGGAATGGGCCGCGGGGCGCGGGGAAGCGCGATACGACGTTAAATTGAACCTTTCGTCGGGTTGATTCCTGCGGTGCCAATGGCACACCGGTTCAAGCTTGGCTAAAAGCAATTACCGGTGTCGGCCGTACGCGCGAGCACGTATCGCTCGTAGATACACGTCGGTGCACGTAAACACGCGGCAAGACACGAGGCTGCTACGCGCGATATAATATTGACTCGAGGGCCATCCTTCGGTCCACAAACGGCTTCGATCTCGACGATCTCGTAGGAAGGAGCTTACCTTGCGCTAATACCCAAGTCGATCGCTTTTTAACCCTGACTAAATTGCGCGAAACCGGCTTCTGCTGTCTATACATTTTGATACTTTTCTGTAGAACGATCGCGGAAATACAGCACCAACGATCGATGATCCCGCTAAGCCGCGAAAAACATTCGAAACGATCAAAAGGAGAAAGCTGTTAAGATAGCGTGACGTTTACGGACCGTCGAAGCTTACATCTACGTGTATTCGTGCTGTTAGTGTACGCGTGATTATGTACTTTGACCGATGTAGACGGGTCATAGCGCTAGGCGGTGGCAGAGCTTAGACGCCGGCATAATTAGGGTCAACTCGATAGCGTACATATTCGGCTAGATATTTAGAGGAGCAACGTGAAAGCAGATATCACGGATCATCTTCCTAGTGGCAAGTCCGGGAAGTACCGTCACAACACAATTAGGTTAAGTGAGGCGCGGTAGAGTATTAGAGTATTATCCCTGTAAATGACACGGGCTTGGGTGCACGCGTTACTATTTACAGAGGGAAGTACTCGTTTCAAGATTTCACGCTGTTATCTGTCTTCTAGTCACCCGCTTTGCGTCTCCCGTGTACGGAACGCTAAAGCGAAACAAATGCTGCCACTTTCCATCGGCGTAACTAGAATTTTTCTCCGGGCTTGATCCCCTAGCTCTACATCGTGCATTAACGAAATTTCAACATGTTTATTTCGAATCGTTTAAAGCACTCGATCAAAGCTCAGCTTTATTGATATTGGTTTTCGCTCGTATTGGGTTCGAAAACACATAAAATTAATGAATATTTGAAAAATTATTCTCTGTGATTTCATAAATCGTCGCGATCTGTTTCGAAATGTTTAGCGATAAATATTTAATCGTAATTATCTGTTTGCGCCGGCGGAAATAATATATAGTATCGAAATTGGAAGTTGGCGGTAAAAGATGCTCGTAGATAAATAGACGACTCGACGCGTGTCCTCCACGCGAGGAGTTAATCACTCGCGGTGGAACGCCGCTTAATTTCGTCTCGTTACCCACCGCGAAGCTTTAATGAATTGTGTACCTGGCGGGAAGTTCCGCGAACCTCCACCACCTCCATCGAATTCTCCCCGGGCGTACAAAGTTTCGCTTTATTTCCAGCCGACGAACGAGAAGCGACTGGGAAGCTTTTGGACCGAGGACCCGTTCGAAAGTTATTCTGGAAGAAGGAGTTGAAGGGGACAGGAGAGTAGCGGACGAGGGAAGAGCGGGAAAAGAGAGGATCGAGGAAGAACGCGCAAAAAGACGCGAGTCAGTGACATCTGCCATGAGCACCCACGCGACCCATTTGTTTCCACGAGATTACCGAAATCTCGAATTCTCTTATCGCCCGGTGACCCGTGAACCCCCGAGCCCGTGAATTCGTGAAGCGGTCTCGCGGAGTATTCGTTTGCACGTACAACGCCGGTAAGCCAGCCTGGCTAATTAACGCGTTCCACGGCTCTTCCCGCTCTTCTTTCCTCGCGGAAAATTTAAATCCCTTACCTTGTAATTTCCTAGTTTCCGGATGGTGCACGGTAGAACGGCTTCCTTGCCGATGGCTGCGGTCACATTACCGATCGGTGCGGCGAAACTTGGCAAATCTGCAAAAAGAACCGACCACCATTTTTGTGAATTGATTCTCGATTCTGTTAGCCGATCGTTCGACAACGATCGGGACGTGCTTAGCGTTGAAAATCGGGCGCATTATTCGCAGCCAGTGCCCCTCGAGATTTATGGCGCAAGTATATCATCTTGTTTGGCCGTTGAAAAATATCTCGCATCGTTTACAAAACGAACGAACGAACGGGAGCGTAGATTCGATAGCAGTGATTCGTTGCTCTCGTTAAAGCGTACGTGACGGCGCAATGACAGCGATTAACAGCTCGTTGCCGCGTATAATATCGAACACGGTCGCGAATGAAGCATAGTTTCAATTTCCCGTCAACGGATGCACTGTCACTGGCTAATGGCCAAAGATGATACGCCGTGGCGAGCATTATGTTAACCCGATAGATCGAGAACGCCGACAGAGAGAGGGAGAATTTTCCCGGTAAATACCCTTCGAAGACGCGATTCATCAACGAGGAAGAAGAAAGCGAGGATCGACCGATTCAATAGCACGCAATGCCTTCCTCTCTTTGTTCGTCGGTGAAGATAGCGCGGTTGTATCTCGGCTCCTATACTTTAATACGGGTTACCCGAATTCGAATACATGAGGGTGCTATTCAATAGAATGCACGCCGAAAGACGAGTATTCATCCTTCCTATATCGAGTCAAGGTTTCCGGTATGACTTTTGGCAAAAAGTAATTAAATGGAACGAGTATCGTTACAAACGGTAACCGTTGACGATCCCCACGAGCGATCAAGTTTCCAATACCCGTAGCCAATTATCCTCTCATTAATGATCCCATCGTTCCGTTTTTCAACCAAGCGACCCAAATATTTGCAGAGTGTGTGATTTATCTGGGAACGTGTAAGTACCTTGACAAATGCGAACGACACGGTCAAACAATTCCTGAAAGAGCTGTAAGGTTGACCTTGCGATTATCTCGAACTTCAAAGGGCTTCGAGTGTTCAAATTTTAAAACGGGGAAGATTTATTTTTTCGTGTCGCATCTGGCTTGCAGAATTCGATCTGCAGGAATCGCTCGGTCCTTCGACGATGACTCTGCCCGAGGACGCGTGTGCAGTCTCGCGGTTCAGCCGCGAACGTAATAAAAGAAAACTCGTGTCGTACAAGTTGTACCTGCCCTTTCTCTTCACGACAAAGACAGCTACGACGATAAGAATCTTTTTGCGTCTGCATAATATCATAATAACTATGTAAATCGGAACAGCGTACCAGCCCACAAACACAATCGGGCATTCGTATGCTAACTCTCTGTCCCTCCCTGTTTCCTACCACCCATGCCTCCATTTCACTTTGCCCGCCACTATATATACCTAACTGGTTACCTAACTCCGATAACGAGTTCAGTCCTCCGCGAGAGAGAGAGGAAGATAGTAGAAAAAAAGGACCATTCCACCACCTACTTTTCAAGCATTATCCATGCGAGCTACGCCGACGTCTAACAAATCTTCCGTTGCAAAAAGCATCCCTGCGAGTGTTAGCCTTCCCTTGGCACTGCCAGCAGGTATTTCGAGATCGAGGGTAGTTAAAAAAAAAGACAGAAAAGGACCATAAAAAAGGGAGCAAATTAAACGTATTCTGGACGAAACGGTGGTTATTATAAAAAAATAGGCGGTTTGGTTCGAGGACCGAAATGGGCGCTGCTCGAGTGTACCAGCGTCGAGCGTTCCTTCCGTGTGCCGACGTAAACGGGCCGGTGTTTTCGACGATTCGCGGGTATCGTGTTCGTGGCAACGCTCGCGTTTCGGCGAATGCGATTTTAATGAATTTAATAAGCGCCGTAAAATCCATTCGCAGTGACCGATAACGAGATCGGCGAAGCTATAAACGTTGCTCGCGAATACCTCCTCGTCCCTACGTCCGTTTTCGCGGAACCGATTCGATGCCGCGTTTATTAATCGTTAACGGTTATATAATTGCGCCTTCTGTGTCCATCGCGGCGGTAACTGGCTCTTGTTGTTCGTTGGCCCGTCTCGTTGACCCATTTTACACGCCGATTCCTACTTTTTGCGAATATTAACGCTCTCCGCGTATTATCTATCGGCTTGGCACGCTGAATTTATATTGTACCGTGGGGAAATGTAATTAAATTGATCGAATTACGCACGGCGAATTGCGATAAAAGTCGGTGTTATTATGAACGCGACCGATATATACGGCTGATACGAGATTAATTAAAACGACGGTCGCGTGCACGAGGATTGCTTTTCTACGGATGTAACCTGGTAATCTTTTATTCGACCGGAATACATTAGCGGTCCTCTTGTGTCGGTTTCGTCGGGCTCGTTCCACTTATTCCCGTAACTTTTGCAAACATTAATATCGTTCCTTCAATAAAAGAATGAAGTACTCTCTTCCCTGGATATCCCGTTCTTTTCTTTTTGTCTCGTCCCACCCCCTCCCTTCTGTCCCTTCGTTTTTCGTCGTTTTGGACTTTCGTCGTTTTGTCGAGGAGACGACACTGACAGGACAGTTCTCGGATTTGCTCGTCAAACATGCCGGAGGATTTAATAAATGCAGCGTCTCGCTAAAGTTTCCCGATGAAACTTAAATATCCCTGAAACGCGAGCTACGGCTGAAGGAGGTCGCGAACGTGCCACAAAATCTCTATACTGTTCTTTCCGTCTACGTTCTCTCATTTTTTTTTGCCTTTTTCCCGTTTTTTCTTTTTTCATAAATTAATGTTCATTCATAGGGATAAAAATTTGCCGAGCTACGCCGCGCCGTGAGCAAAGGGAGGAGAAAAACGTTTGCTCTTTCGAAAGACAAAGTTGCCTTCCCTTGAAAGTCAAGCTACCTTCTGTACTCTCTTTCCACCACCCCTTATCTTCGAAGTTCGCTATTCTATTGTAATAACATGGAACTTTGTTAAACTCTCGTTCGAGGAAAATCTCAGTTGCCGTGGCTCTTCAACGTTAATGGCCGATTCAAGATACTCTTCCTGAGTTAACGCGAAACACATTGACCTACAGTTTTCCATTATCATTAGCTATTCTCGTTTCTCTGTTAAGTATCGTCACGGTTATCAATGAGAAATCGATCGAATTTAAAGCATTTCAAACTTTCTAATCCGCCGTTAAATATCGATTGCCTTACGAAGGCTTCTTTATCGTTTGCCAATCTTACCGATTTTGAAATCTAGTCCTTACAATTACTGTCACGAAACTAACTTGGCAATATAACTTCTGATAACGTAACTGCGGAGATCTTCGTGGGTTTCTGAACCGTAGAACGATTAAAGAATGCAAAAATCTGTAGTATTATAACGAAAGTTTGCCTATCTCGAAAATGGAATAAACGATTCTTTCGACTTCTCTTCTGACGGCCAACTTAAAATTTCAATTTGCAGGACGTCTACATACGTTATCGTTCGCCGAAGAACATTTTCTTATTCCTTAATAAAGAATGTTTGCGATTCGAACGAATACGCGCTCAGTTTCTTTCCATGCAAAACGAAAAACGCGAATTCTTCTTGCTCTCTCAAGAACGGTTCTTCATATTTTTATTCCGCCGCTACTAGCCGTTTCTCAGGCTGTCTTTCCACCGGAAAACGATTACGGTGTATCTTCCGGTGGAAATGGTGGCTACGCCGCGAAGTAAGAGAGTAATTTGTCGAAGGTATCTCTGCTGTAACGTACCGTAGTCCGCTGATATGTAGTTCGAAGAAAGACGAGCGTTTCATGGTAAAAATAGGGAGGAACGGAAGGATTCTTTATTCGCGTAAAGCGGCAGGACGCGCGGACATCACCGACAGGTAAAAACATTCTTTCTGTCGATTCGTCGTGACGCTCAGCGTCCGACAATGTCCATGAGATCGTTGAAATACGCGAAACGATATTTTAACACGTCGCCGAGGACGCGTCCGTGCTTTCATTGGACGATCCGATTCGATCTTAGGTTCATTTTTTCTATTTCCGTGTCCGATCGTTTCCTTTGCAAAAATATCGTGGAAAAATTGACGAATTTACGAACAACGAGATATATCCTTGGCGGTTCCACCCCTTGCTTCTCTTTCGGCGTTCGGTTTATTTTTGATCGTATTTACGAATATTCGTGTATCGATCGTATCGTATTTGTTCGCGATAAAAAAATGTATGAAAATATACAGGTACGCTTGTATTAACGTTAAAATCGAGGCAAGTGCTTCGTCTCTTCGCGTTCGTTTTATTCCGTTCATCCGATTCCGCGATACGCCAGATTGAAAGCGCTCGAACGTATTTCGTCGCGTCGAACAGCGTACCTATTATTAAGCGAGCGAAATGGAAAAACATTTTTGACGTTGAAATCGACGCTCGGTCTCGCCAAGGAAGAAACGTGAAATTCATCGAATTTCCGTTCCATTGTCAGGCGTTAAGAAGGACCTATCGACCACCCCAAACTACCGGTCACTTTCAGATATACACCTCGTTCTATTCGTGACCAGAAGCTCCCCTTACATCCTGCGACGATTCTAGCAAGTGATAAGCCAGCCACTCCAGACAGTCAGCTAAAAAGGCTAGAGGTATGTCCAAAAATTGGAGAAGGATCAGCGTCTGTCGGTGCAAGCAGCTACGCCAAATCTTAATATCGCCGAGATCCTAATTATCGTCGTTCGAGGCGCATCGTGGATAGCGAAATTCGTTTGGTAGTCTCTAGTCGCTAAGACGGCAGAGTGGAGATTGAATTATATTTCCGTTGGAATAATTTCGCCATAAAATAAAAGCGGCAGCTACGGAACCGGCGGGGCTAGTGCAATAGGCGCACCCACGCCTCCGAAACGATCCAGAGTTCGTCTCCTCCAGTTCTATTCCGTTTCCTCTTCCCTTCCTTTTCCTTTCTCGACTCTCGTTCGTTGGTCTCGGTTCGCACGGGCATTCAAGCCCGCTGCTTCCACTATTTTCCTCAGCGTTTCCTTATATTACATCCTAGATACGGCCGCGAGGACGATGCTGCCAGTTGAAAATTCCTTTCCTCTCCTGTTTCTGTCAGT